CTTAGCTCCTGAGAAATCTGATGTGGCATATGACATTTATATATTTCTCTCCATCAAGTTTTACATGGACTTGATAAATCTCACATCTTGCCTTGAGACCCTATATATTCAATGCTTTTTAGACAGAAGATTAGTAATATAATTGGAGGAAAATCAACTGCAAATAATGGGCATAGTCTTGCTAGTATGTCATAAATGAAGATCTAAACTGGGGAAATAGTTTCTCTATCTACCCGTGGACCTCGTCATTAGAATTCAAGACAGGAAAAAAGATGAAAGATGTGTTCTTACCATTATCATTGCCTTGCTTGATTTCCTCTGCCGTCCGGTCTATTAACACGTACAAGGACCAAACGACGCAGGTGATTGCGATTACATGGAATGTGACTGAGCAGAATATTTTCCTCCTTTCACTTGTGGTCATCTGTAGCTTCTCCCACTGCAGTCAGAAAAGAATCACAGGAAACTGAATATTTAACCGAGAAATTTTGCTTACTGTTTACTTCCTGGGCATAGTTCATTCATGAAAATGAAACATTAAATATTTGTAATTTCAGATGAGAATATAATGTACAAAAAAGGCTTTATATGTGGAGAGATGTAAAATTTAAGTTACATACAATTTAAATAAATACTACAGTGTAAACAAACATAATCTTCTTTTCTCCAAATGAGATAAATCAAGTCATGCCTGTTTTGCCAGGTCATAGTTTCTTCATCTTCAACATGACTGGGTAGCTTTAATATTCTATAATTTTTTTAGAAAATATTTCTTTTCAGATGTCTGTATATCACTGCTTTGTGATACTAGGTTATAAGTCCCTAGTAAGGCAAGGGCAGAAGGTGTCTGTGTTGCACAAGTAGTTTGCAATTGGCTGGTAACCTAAAGATTGGTGACTTGAACCCACATAGCAGCTCCATGAAGAAAGGCCTGTCCTGTGAATGCAATCAACCCGACAGCAGTGGATTTGGCTTTTTTTTTTTTTTTAAGGTAACAGTAAAGAGTTGTAAGAAGTCATAGCTAATACTTGCCTCTTGGGTTAACACATAACCTGATATAATGTTGCATTCTTGATGGTATATTAAATATTGACCAGTATTTAAATGAATAGTTGGAATCTGAGAGAGAAACTCAACATTTTCTGTTTACAACTCTTTGCCTACAAAAATACATTTTAGCATCTGGGTAACACAGTAAACATGTGCTAAGAGCTCTGGTAGCATAGTG